CCCACATAATCCACATAACTCAACTAACGATCAAGACCTGTCTCTACAGTCATTCTAACCCTCCTGGGAAGGTAGAACTATCTCGGAAGTCTCACGGTCAACCCAGCATCAAACTATCCAAGCTTGGTCAAAGGAGCTCACGGGGCCCACCACCTCCAAATTCCGATCCGAAAGATCCTATAGGTTCTACAAAGCTCAGGACGCACGTCCGGCAAGTTTGGTCCAGATCGGACGGTCGGATCGCTCATGATCGCACGATCGGACGGTTACTGTAACCCTAGACCTAGGGTTGGCATTTCCGGAGTATCCGGGACTCCGTTTTATGATCTGTCGAATCCTACACAATCCTAAGGATGTCCAGATTGACATATAATAAATTCAAGACCATCCAACGGTTCAAACCTATCGAACCCAGATAACATGCAATAGGCGATATCCGTTCGAGACTCAAATGGTATCCAAATTGAAATCCGAGCACACCTACACACTTGGTGAGGACCAGGAGATTACATCGGGACACAATGCTCTTTTTCTACAGTGCCTACGTGCCGCCACACACGCCGCCAGCGCGTGGGTGTCCAAAGCGATAACCCATCGCCGGAAAAACTCCCCCTAGGTGTAACACCCTATTTGGAACCACTTTTGATCTTGATCTTGGACCTATCCCGAAAAGTGACAAGAAGTGGCCGGAATCGCTATCCCAGAATCGGCCGAAATCCAATTCGAACATCAAACAATCTAGACTCAAAATTAATGAAATCCTACCCAACCATCAATTGGAGCTCAAGCAATAGATGAATTTCCATACCTGGAACGCCAAAAATGGCGGCCGGACAACGAAGAACAAAGCCGGCGAAAATTGAGTGAAAAACCGGCCCTTTCACAGCTTTTTCTGGCTGATACGGCGGCGGACTGAGGCGATGAAGGGCTGGGGCTGGAAGAGGACAGTGGCCCGGTCATTTTGGTACCGGCCCCATTGACTTTGGTGGCCGGATGAGAGAACAACTGGCCAAAACGTGGCCGGCTACGCTGCTGTCGCGCGAGAGAGGAGAAAGAGAGATTGCACGGAGGAGAGAGAGGGAGAGAGAGAAAAAATTAGATTTTATCAAACCCTTTTCGCAATATTTAGGATTGTCCTGCTGAGGGTATTTTGATCATATATTTTTCGTTACAACTCTGATTCGAGCCCACTTCGTGTCTACAGACTCATCTCGCCGCGCTCTACACAACGGTACAATCGAAATTCTCAAATTCCTCCTAGTCAAAAAGTCAGCTTTAAACATAATAAAATATTCTAGGGGTAAATTGGTCTTCTATCTAAATGAATTAATAATTAAACATTTATTTTGGACCGGGTCGTTACAGATCGTGTTCAATTTTTCAACTGATGCAAAAGTTTCTTCATAATCTACAGTATAAGTTTGTGTGTACCATTTCACCACAAATCTTGTCTTGTATCGCTCGAGAGCATTGTGTTTTATGGTAAACACTCATCTACATTCGACAGTCTTTTTTCCTCGTGCTAAAGTTTCTAATGTCCAAGTCTGATTCTTCTCAAGAGCTTTCATCTCTTCCTTTATAGCTTGAACCCACTTATGATCTTTACATGCTTCAGCAACCTTGGTTGGGATATCAATAGCAGACAACTGATGCACAAAGACCTTGAGTTGTTCAGACAGCTTCTCAGTGGATACATGATTCGCAATTGGATACTTTTTTGTGGTTGATGCAACTTGATGGGTTCTTCTTTAGTTTCGAAATTGAGAAAAAATGGTGCTTGTCCTAGTGGAATTGTACAATATTTTATGGTTTATTTAGTTTTTAATTCGAGGAAATTGCCATACACTCCCTGAATTAGGATCCAATCAAACTTAACCCCCCAAACTAAAAAAACAGCCAATTTAACCTCTCGACTAATTTATATAGGGCTGCACATTATTACCGAAAACCCGACCGAACCGGACCGCCAAAGGTGGTTTGGTTTGGTTTTTAAGCTGTAAAATTGAAGAACCGGTAAAAAAAACCTCCCAAACCGCCCTTGAACTGGGTTGGACCGGTTTTAGTTGTCCAAAAATCGCCAAAAATCAAACCTGACCGCATATTTAAATTATGTTATTAAAATAATAAGTACATGTGTCAAATTATGATTGGTGGATTTTTAGCCGATTTCGCTACTCTTGGCTACACCAGATCGAACGAAACCCTAAATGTTTTAACTTCATTCCATTTTTTCATTCGGCCTCCTCCTTTCTCTTCTCTCTCACTCCCTCTCTACCTCTCACCTCTGCCTATGCCTGTGAAACTCATCCAGATTCATCACTCAATCTCTCTCAGTCACTCTCTCTGTCTCACTCGCTCTCTCTCTTTCTCTTTCCAGATTTTTCTCACCCGATCTCACTGTCACTCTTTCTCTTTCACTTGCTCTCTCTCAGTTTGAGGTATATATGTGAGCCCTAAAAATTTAGGGATTTGACAATTTTTTGTTAATTATATTTATCTAATATGACTCTTGTGATTTATCTAAATGGACAGAAATGATTTTGGGAGCATAGGAAACTATTGGCTTGCTCTAGGTAATTTCTCTGATCTGAATCTGTTTTTGTTTCATTTATTTTTGGTGGTGTTGTAATTTATGGTAATATCTAGGATCATAGAATTGATTTTGGGATAAAATTGATTTTGGGATAGAATTGATTTACACACAGAAATTATTTATGTTAGATATTGAGTACTTTCTCTAAGTCTCTTAGTCCTTTTACTTTGTCAATCAAGAATTCTAAATAGTTCTAATAAAAGCCCAGATCTGGAGGTTCCAGGTATTATTTTTAACTTTTTCCAGTTCAATCTTTTAGGTGGTATTCGTTTACAATTTTCTTATAAATTTCTTCATTTATATTTGTATTACCCCAGATCTAAAGGAAGACAGACTTCTTCTCTGTAAGTATTTTTTATTTCCTGTGTTTTTATGGATCTTGTTAATAATGACTTAGTTGCTTGGCTAAAAGCTTATGTTTGTTATCAAGTCATTTGGATCTATGCCGTTTATTGTTGATAGCAAAGCTTGCTATTCACAATCTAAGGCCTCCAACTGCTCTTGCATGTCCTTAGAGTAAACATCTATCATCTTTGATAGCTTTTGATCTCTTCCTGCAATATTTCAAGCTAGTGTCGCGTCTCCTCCAAAGTCTTTGCCCTCTCCCTTTTCAATCTCCTTATAGTACTCTAACATTCTGCAACCAAATTACGTTCTGCCACCAATTAACTTCTTAGCACTTTCACCTCATGAGATTTCACAATGAGGCGATGACCCACAATTGCAACTGACGCCGCAATTTACACACTCCGTGTCATGGCATCACTCACTAGCTAGTTATCATCCTTTGTTCCCAGCACGCGCACATCCCTGGGAGTCAAAAAACTCCTTGCAACTTCAATGACAACATCGTTGTCAAGGAGTAATGAGTCGTTTACAATCACTAGTCCTCATGAGGATGCAAAGTAGAGCATCCACCCTGGTACATCCCCTTGCCCCCATGTCTGCGTTGGTGGAGCTAGGTTTAGATAGAGAGAAAATGGGAATGAAGAGGCCATTTTATTTCTGAGTTTGAGGGGATGAGTTTAGATTTTTCTGAGTTTGAGGAGATAGGTTTAGATTTTTCCGAGTTTGAGGAGTTGTGAGAAATGGGTGGAGTTTGAGGAGTTCTGAGTTTAGATTTTTCCCTTATTTCCTTTTATAAACGTCCATTATGATACCCGTTTCTGATTTTTCCCACGACTCCGTGATTTATGGTCCATATTTTGTGAGGCCGCTCCATAATAATAATTTTTTTTTAAAGGTAATTTGTGGGGCTGCTCCATAATTTCTGCTTTGTGTTTTCCACCTTGAGCTCCACGCCTCCATGATAATTACTATATTTTTAAATTTAATTAATATATTTGTAATTAAAAAAAAAGAGGAGAGAAAAAACAAGGAAAAAAAAAATAAAAAAAAAAGGAGAGAAAAAAAGAGAAGGAAAAGACAAAGTTGTATGTAGAAACATTATAAATATCAAATGGTGTAGCAAATAATCATTAAGTTGTTTGTAGTATAGTGCTTAAGGTGTTGGAGAGAAATGAAAGTGGAAGGGATTTAAAACCCCTTGTGTGTCTGTTTTTATATATTTATTTTTATTATAAGAAAAAATAAATTACAAGACAAAGCCTCTCGGGCAGGAATACCCAAGTCTACATTTCCTTACATTTTTAGTGGGTTGGTAGGTATTACACCGTTGACATGACCCATTTCCTTAAATGATTTAAGTATGATTTTGGCTATTTTTGAAAGTTTTTATAAAAACTGAGGTTTATGAATTTTGGCTATAAATGATAAAAGAGTCAAATTCGTCCAAAATCAGGAGTTGAATTCTTGATTTTGTGTGGCCCCACTCGCATTTTAATTCCTATGTATAAATATATATAGCAAAAAGTAAAGAATGATGAAACATTCAAAATACCAGAAAATGCCATTGGTTAATCCAAACATTAAGAATTGAATTTATTAATTAAATGAGGATAATATGGTAAATTTACACTTTTCATATTTAAAAAATTAAATCAAAAGAAAAATCAGATAATGGATCCTATTTTTATGGAATACAACTACCAATTATCTTATTTAATTCTAAAATATTTTTTTTAAATTTAAAAAAATACTCTCGTAGGTGCGGAAGCGCGTGCGAAGATGCTAGTGTGATGTAAACACAACAAAAGGTGAATATTGAAGTATTTATATGGAGGGTAATTTGGTACTTTCAAGTTAGAAAGTGAGTATTTGTGGTTAAGTTTTATAAAGTGATTATTTCTGATTAAGGTTTATCTTTAGTGACTACGTAAGTCAATTTCCCATGAAAGTAAGGGTAATTAAATACGTGGCATGCCTGTCAGCCATTAGATCGTCTTCAATGGTGTCGATAAAGTCTAATATAATATGGCAGACAATATCCCTAGTAGAGGATCAAAATCCTACATCGGTTAATTGCTGGGTGGATAAGGCATCCTCATAGTAGAATTCCTCGTAGTGTTGTGGGCAATTCCCAAAAAAAGGGGGAAAAAAAAAAGCCGAGAGACAGAGAACCAGAAAACAGAAAGGAAGAAGAAAAAGGGAATCGAGTGAGACGAAAATGGCGAGGAAGTCAGGGATTTTGATACGACATTTGTTTGGCAATTGGAGCAACCCCTGTGCAGGTCTTCTTCGTCATCGTCGTAAGCTTCTTCCTGTTTCCATCCAAACCCTAACCCTATCTTCAATCCATAGTCTAACACCACGTTTACCTTCCCCTTGCAAATTACCTTTGTCCTCCCCAAACCTTCATTTTATGCGACGCTCCGATGAAGGTATCCCCTTTTTCTCTTCCACTTTATGCTTCTGCTTCAGATTTTGTTGTTGCACTGACTCACCTGTTTTTACAGGTCTTGTATTTTCAAGGCCCGCAAAGATGGTAATCATTTCGAACAAGGATGACTATGACAGGGCAATTAAACAAGTTACAGGTAATATTTTTCTATTTTGATGATGCCGATTACATTTTATGTTGGTTTAGACTAGATTGAAGCGGTGTTTGTTTGGATTGGGAAATAAAAGTTGGGACAAACAGCACTTTTCTGTAATTTTATAAGGGCCTCGCCTACTCAATGGCCTCCTGCTTTACACGCAGACGCAGTGAAGGGATGGAAATGGCAAATCCAAAATCCAACTCGGCGGCCATACCTAAACTTGCTTGTGTGTGTGTGTGTGTGTGTGTGTGTGTGTGTGTGTGTGTTTTTTGAGAAATTAAAGTTTGTAGATCTAATGGTTGAATAGATAACTTCGGTAAGAACTATGATGCCGCAGATCCTCCCCTATATATATTGTATTACTTTTTCACATGTGTTTATACCAAAATGAACACCCAATGAACATCAACCACGTGGACTATTCCAGGGCTACGTGTGCCTTCGGCACTCACCTTCGGTACTAGACCTACCGATCACAACATTAGGGCAACCTTGCCCACCCTGGCACGTGGCAGCTCCACGATTGACGCCCAGAGTCCCACATCGAAACTCTAGACAAATTGCACACCTCCCAAGGACTATAAAAGAGGACACCTATCCCAGCCTGAAGGTAAGGAATCAGAACTTACGGCATACTGCCTGTTGATCTGCAGTTAAAACTTACTAAATCCGTACTTACTTAAGCATCGGAGAGCCTTCGGCCGGTACCACACCGGTGCCCTAGGATTTACCGTGTGTTTGCTATCTTACAGATCGCACACCTAACCGAGGACATCAGATACCGAAGAGACTTAATCACTAAGTTGCGCGGGAAAGTGCAGAACCATTTTTCTGCGCCAACAGTTTGGCGCCGTCTGTGGGAAATCGATATAATCGACCTACAATTCCTAAACAAAACAAATGGGAACCACTTCAGGACAACAGTTCCTATCAGAGGATGGATTACCGTACGGTATGCCAAGTGGAGCAAGCCCCGCGCTGCACCCTAGCACTCCCTTCGGTAATCCACCGGTGCTTCAGACTACGGTCGAGGCGGAGCTTCTGGCTCAAATGATTTCCCTTCGGAAGGAAATGGCCAAGCTTACCAATCTCCTTTCGTCCACAGCGGTCGAACCCCAACGGGTGCTTAACCAGCAGGAAACACAAAACATTCGGACCCCCGAATCTTCCCAGAGTCAGCAGACCCCCGGTCGGCAGAAGAAGGGAAAACAGGGGGCAAAGGCAACGCCCGCGCCTTCCAAGCAGCTGGTAGTCCCGGCACCCCAGGGCCAACCGCACGTACCGAAGAAGGTATACACCGACTGTCGTCATCGGATCAATGACAAGAAGGATACCGAACGGCATAGGTCCCCAATCAGACTAAACGCCAACTTGAGAGACTCCCGGATGAGGGTCTTGGGGGACAAGTCGCCCCTTCGGAGGGCTCAGGGTTTGGATTCGGCGCAGGAATCTGACGATGAGTACATCCCCACCAGGGACACCGAATCGAGCTACCGTTCGGAAGCTCCCCCGGAGTACTCAAAGGCGAGATCGCCAAGTCCGAGGAAAACTTCCGAAGACTTTGATTCCGAGAATGTCCCCAGCCGAGACCCCGCCATCCGACTACTTTTTCAAAGAATCCAGAAGATGGAGGAAGACCGAACCCGATCCCAGGTCCCTGACTGGGGAAAACTTCGACCCGGGCCCTTTACCGAGCGCATCAAGGGGTCCAGACCAGACAGGGAGGTGCAGCCGTTGCGCATACCCTTCTATACCGGTGTGGAGGACCCTCTGACGCACCTTCACTCCTTCCAATCGGCAGTTGGGTGTAAGGGCCTTAGCGACGAGGGACAATGCCTGCTGTTCCCCTCGTCCCTTACCGGAGCTGCACTGAACTGGTTCTACCGTCTCGAGCCGGGGACGGTACACTCCTTTGAAGAACTAAAGCAGATCTTCCTCAACCACTTCATGATTCAGACGGACCGTCTGTATTCTGCCGATGATCTGTACACAATTCGGCAACGGGAGGACGAACCCCTACGGGAATACGCAGCGCGCTTCAGTCACGAGTACTCGAGGTGTCCCGAAACGGACGATAGGGCAGCCTATGGCGCCTTCAAGAGTGGCCTACGGTCCTCTCACTTCCGGTACCTCGTGCACAGTAGCAACTGGCGCACGTATGACAAGTTAATGAAGCAGGCGGCAGTCCATGCGAAGGCCGAATACTTCAACTCCAAACCCGGGCCTTCGGCTCGGAAGGAGGAATCGACAGCCAAAAGCTATCCAGGCCGAACCGACGAACCGTCGGCAGGACACAAACGGAAGGACGACCGGGATAACCGGCAGGGAAATTCAAAGAAAGGACGTGGGAAGTACGGTCGTAACGACCACCGGGCGCCCCTACCGAATCACGATCTTGCTCAGGAAGTCTTCACGGGGCCCCGGGCAATTCCTGCCAATACCCCCAGCAAACCAGCCACAATACCGAAGACTGCATCAGTCTAAGGAAAATTGTCGAGCGCCTGATTCGGGAAGGGAAGTTGGATCAGTACCTTGCCAGGCCGCCACAGGCCCCGGCACCAAATGCGAATCGGCAGATCAACATGATCAACACGATCAGCGGCGGCCCCACCCTGGCGGGACCCTCCAACCGCTCGGCGAAGCAGTATCTGCGCGCCGCCCACTGCCCTCAGGTTTTCGGCATAGCGGAGGATCGGTGCCGAAAGTTGCCGAAGGTGGGATGGGAGCCCATCACATTCAGTGAAGAAGAGGAGGAGGGAATCATCTACCCCCACGACGACCCGATGATCATTTGGGCCGAGATCGCCGATTACGACGTGGGTCGGGTGCTGATTGACACCGGAAGCTCGGTGAACGTGATCTTTGCCGATGCGTTCAAGGGCCTGGGGATTGCGGACAGCATGGTCAATCGGCAAATCACGCCTCTCCTCAGTTTCTCTGGGGATGTGGTACAACCGGTCGGTAGCATCAGTTTACCCATTGCCTTCGACATGGCTCCCCGGAAGACCATGACCTATGACCAATTCCTCATTGTTGACTGCCCAACAGCATACAACGTCATCATAGGGCGAACGGCGCTCACCAGGATCAAGGCCCACCTATCCACACACATGTTGCTGATGAAGTTCCCGACACGCAACGGTACCGGAGCCATCCGGGGCGATCAGCTCAGCGCACGGACGTGCTATGCCACGGCCCTTAAGTCGGTAGCCAGCAAACCGCCAATGGAGGCCATGACCTTGCTGGGACTACCGAACGGTAACGAACCAATTGACGACCCCCGGGAGGAAAACCCAACGCCAATGGCACAGCCGGCCGAGGAGCTGGAGACCATAATCCTGAACAAGGACTTCCCCGATCGGTGGGTGAAGATCGGCACCAATCTGGAACCCGACCTCCGAAGGCAGTTCATCGACTTCTTACGACAGCATGCGGAAGTCTTCGCCTGGTCTTATGACGACATGCCCGGCATATCACCCGACGTCATCAGCCACAAGCTCAGCATCTCCCCCGCCCACAAACCAGTCAGGCAAAAGCGCCGATCGTACGATGCCGAACGGTATGAGGCGATGCGTGCCAAAGTTGACAAACTCAAAGCCATCGGCTTTATCAGGGAAGCTACGTACCCTGTGTGGCTTGCCAACTCAGTCATGGTTCGGAAGGCCAGGGGAGGATGGCGAATGTGTCAAGACTATACCGACCTGAATAAGGCCTGTCCGAAGGACAGTTTCCCCTTACCGAGGATCGATCAGCTAGTCGATGCCACCGCCGGGCACGAACTGCTCAGCTTCATGGACGCGTATTCAGGATACAACCAGATCTTCATGGACCCTGCCGATCGAGAACATACGGCATTCATCACTAATCGCGGTTTGTACTGCTACAATGTCATGCCTTTCGGCCTGAAGAACGCGGGGGCAACTTACCAACGGCTCGTCAACCGGATCTTCGCTAAATACATCGGCGGCATCATGGAGGTTTATGTTGACGACATGTTGGTAAAGAGCCAAACGGCAGGGGATCACCTGGAAAACTTGGCCCTCATGTTCGGCATTCTAAAGGACTACCGAATGCGGCTGAATCCGGCGAAGTGCGCCTTCGGTGTATCTTCCGATAAATTCCTCGGTTTCATGATCAGTCAAAGGGGAATCGAGGCCAATCCCGAAAAAATAAAAGCCACAATCGACATGGAGACGCCGAAGACGCAGAAGGACATTCAGAGCCTTACCGGGCGTGTCGCTGCCCTGACACGCTTCATCTCCAAGGCCACCGATAAATGCGTACCGTTCTTCAAAGCTTTGAAAGGGGGCAAACATCATATAACATGGACTCCCGAATGCGACCAAGCATTTCAAAACTTGAAGAACTACATGAGCCAAGCACCACTGTTATCAAAACCACTGCCGGGCGAGGTACTACTGCTATACCTTTCGGTATCCAACACTGTCGTCAGCTCAGTGTTGATAAGGAAGCCGGAGAAGGCGGAGCTACCAATCTTTTATATCAGCAAGGCGCTCCAGAGCGCAGAGCTTCGGTATCCACCTTTGGAACAGCTAGCGCTGGCCCTGGTCGTCTCGGCGCGAAAGCTTCGTCCCTACTTCCAGGCTCACGAAGTCACGGTTCTGACGAACCAGCCCCTTCGGCAGGTGCTCCAAAAGCCGGAAACATCTGGCCGATTGGTCAAATGGGCAATCGAGTTGGGGGAGTTTGACATACAGTTCAAACCAAGGCCGGCAGAAAAAGGCCAGGCCGTTGCCGACTTCATCTCCGAGCTCACACCGCCTGCTTTATCGGAACCATCGTCACCGAGCGTCGTCCCTACCGCACCAGAGAAAATGAATACCGAACGTTTCGACACGTCCACTCCTCTCTGGATCCTGCATGTGGACGGCTCGGCAAACCAGCAAGGCTGTGGTGCCGGCTTAGTGTTAACCACTCCAGACGGTAGCAAAATCGAGTACGCCCTTCGATTCAACTTCCGAACCTCCAATAACGAGGCAGAATATGAGGCCCTCCTGGCTGGCCTTCGGCTAGCCCAGAGCATGAGCGCGAGGCAGATCAGCATTCACAGCGACTCCCAGCTCATAGTAAACCAGATAACGGCAGACTTTGCAGCAAAGGATGCCTCCATGTCCGCCTATCTATCGGCAGCCCACCAGCTACTATAGAAATTTGAAGCCTATGAGATACGGCAGATCCCCAGGTCTGAAAATAGCCATGCCGATGCACTCTCGCGATTGGCTTCGGCAATAAATGACAGGATCGGAAGGAAGGTACCGGTGGAGATATTATCCCAACCAAGTACAACCGCCGCTGAGGTATGTACCGTTCGGTACGAGGATACATGGATGTCCCCAATCTATGCCTATCTGAAAG